GTCCATGAGGAGTATTGGGGGGGGGGGGGGGGGGGGAGAATGGTGCAATGAGAGCCGTGTCCGCTTCACCCAGAAGGGCTCGTTGTTTGCACTCGGCTGGAGCCCGTGATTCTCCTTCTGTCCGGCACAGTAAAATTCTCATGCTTCTCTTTTCCCTTATGGAGGAAAGGAGGCTTGAGTTACGCTTAGTCACAGGGCAGAGACTCCCACTGACTTCCTGTGCCCGGGGCTGAAGGTCAGTGTCCAGCGAGGTCCTGCCTGAGTCAGAACTCAAATACGGATGGAGGAGTGCCAGCCCAGCCACTGCCCTGGAAGGAGCTGGACACCCGCCGCTTCCTGGGGGTGGGCGGGGCGGCCGCGCTCCGGGACTGTCACTCCATGGGGGCGTGTGAGCCTCCTCCAGTGTGTCCACTTGGTCAGGAGGGTCCAGAAACTAGGTTAGGGGTGGTGACAGGAATCAAAGAAATGTGAACTGGAAGGACCTACTCCAGGACACTTTTTAGTGGAAGTGCTTAAAATCACCTAACTTATGAGAGAGCATTTTGAGGTGTATGTTTTATTTCACTCTGGGTGGGCGTGCTCACTGGAGCCAGGGGGTCCCGGGGTGATCATGCTGCAGTCCCTTCTCTCACGTTCCTCTCGGGATTCTGGGCATGTGCACACGCACCCGCCTGGTGTGTTTTCAAGCTGCTGAGTCTGGCCTCCAGCCGTGCAGTCAGCTGTGTGGGGTCCAGCTGCCTTAACCGCCATACCACGGGACTAACTTGAGCATTTTTTAAAAATGGATTATTTGGGACCAGCAGATGGTGTAACGGTACATCGCTGGACTTCCTCGTAGTCGACCACAGTTTGAGTCCTGGACCCAGTGGCTTAAAACTCACGCTGGACGCCTGCTTGGCGTGCCCAAAATCCTGAGAGGAGAATGTAGGAGAAAGGATTGTTCTCCATCTTTCCAGGCAAGCACACATACCCTAAAGCAAAAATCTCTCTTTAAAAATTATTATTTATGGGACCAGCAGTTGGCGTAATGGCTACGTCGCTGGACTCCCATGTAGTCAACCGCAGTTCGAATCCTGGACCCGATGGCTTAAACTCACACTGTATGTGTGTGCGTGCATGCCTAAGATCCTGAGAGGAGAATGGAGGACAAGGGATTGTAGCATGGCCATCCCCCCTGGGGGATGATTTCTC